CGGCTTAAGCCGACCAACGTAAAACGTGGGATGCGTTCGCATCTTACGTGACAGTTCGATCGTGTATGCGTTGCTTAGGCGGTGCAATACACGAAATGGGCCGATGTACTTGGGTAGTAGTTTACTACTACCGAAGTTAGTCACTACATGCTTTGGTAGTTTAACCGTAGACTGTAGGACTAAGTCACCTTTACTAAATAAAAGAGTGTTTGCCCTTCCATTCTTATCAGCGTTTTGATTTTGCTTATCCACCGCTTCGGCGATGGAGCCTTGCACAAAACGGACTACCGTTTCACGAGACAGTATGAGCTCATCTGATGACTCGTTAGCTTCAGTGCGCTGTGAGTGCACTGCAGCAACATCAATCTTTTCTTCAGTGGGGTCTTCCTCGCTCTCACTGGCATCATCTTCTTAGATATCGATGTTGTCGATGTCGGCATCAAACGCAATGACCTCATCGTCAGAGCGTGATGAGCGTGAACCAAATCGGTTTTTGCTCGCGCGAGTCTCTCCCCCCTTAAACCAGAGTTACACTCGAGTAAGGTGGGTACACGCGGATGGCGCTAGCCATTCACGTAAAACGGTGTATGTGTCGTGGACGCATGCACCGAGTTGTTAATGGCAAGCTCTACCATCGGCAAAAACTCACTCCAACTCTTAAAGGAGTGTACGTATCCTCGAATTATCTCTTCAAGGACACGATTGGCACCCTCCGTCTAACCATCTGACTCTGGATGATCAGATGTAGACATCTTCAAGCGCGTTCCGAGTGATTTGAACACGGAACGCCAGAAATCAGCAGTGAATCGTGGATCTCTGTCTGATACGAGTTCACGGGGCAACCCATGAAGTCGGAAAATGGTGTCGATAAAGACACAAGCACAGCCACTTGCCGTGATTGACTCTGGTACAGCCACAAGGTGTACCATTTTGCTGAATCTGTCAACAAATACGAGAATACCCGTATTCCCGCGTGCGTCTTTGGGTAACCCGAAGACGAAATCCATTGAGATGGATTCCCAGCACTCAGCCGGAACCGGTAGAGGCTGTAAAGGTGCACGCAGTGAAGGACTTGACTTCACTCGTTGACAGACTTCGCATGCGCGAACATACTTTCGCACAAGCTAATACTGGCGGGGCCAGTAAAAGTCTCGACTCACCGTGAGATATGTTTTCTCTCGGCCACGATGTCCTCCTATAGGAGCATCGTGATACTCGAACATGATCCGCAAACGCAGATCAGTATCATCTGGAATGACAACACGTGGTGTGTCACCAGAAACGGCTGTATAATACAGTAAACCGTTGCGAGTAGTGTATCGATCTGATGCAGATCGATACGCAGGCCACAATCGCTTCAACGATTCTCGAGATGGTTGGGAGAGATGTGTCAACAACTTCACAATCTCACCATCTTGGGCGTATGCCCGCCTCACATCATCATACAACGTTGTAGATGGGACTGAGGACGTCATAACCGCAACAGTGACTGTCTCACTGTTGGGTTTCGCGACTGTTTCAAAGTCGGGACGACGTGAGAGTGCATCAGCGACGACATTAAGTCGTCCTGGTTTGTACTCGACCGTAAAGTTGTATTCTGCAAAGAATGCCAACCGCCGCTCCATTCGTTGTGAAAGGTGCGGACTGTTCACTGCCGTGCGTAATGACGCATGGTCAGTGTAAACAATGAAGGGTCTATCTCCTAATAGATAGACTCTGAACTTCGCGAGTGCATACTTCATGGCAAGGAGTTCCTTGTCATGCACTGGATAGTTCCGCTCAGCTGGTTGCAGCTGACGCGACTGATAGCAGACGACGCGTTCAACGCCTTCTAGGTCGTACTGCATTAATGCACAGCCGATTGCGAAATCGCTGGCATCACAGACCACATGAAATGGCCTGTCCTGATCGGCTATTGCTAGGACTGGGGATTGTATCAAGCTCTGCTTGATACCCTCAAAGGAGCGTTGACATTCAGCGTTCCATAACCACCTCTCGTTCTTTTTCAACAAACGAGAGAGGTGCACAGTCATCTCCGCTTAATTGCGTGAATACTTATGCAAATACGCCGCTAGCCCAAGGAATTTTCGAAGACCTTTGACATCAACCGGCACAGGCCAGTCGGTGATCGCCTTGATCTTTTCGGGATCAGGACGTACACCGTTCTTACCAACGATGCACCCAAGAAGTGGTATTTCGCTTGCTGCAAATATACACTTCTTGAGGTTTGCATACAATTGATGCTTTCGCATGATTGTAAGAACCTGTCGGACGTGGTATCTGTGAACATCAACGTCCGACTTTCCATCCATAGCCTGACTAAGGATGAATACGTCATCGAAATAACTCGGCGCGAATTCGCGTACTGGTCTCAACAGATGTGATACACATCTGTTGAACGTGGCAGGGGCGTTACTGAGCCCTTGTGGCATTACTAGCCATTCCCAGAGCATGCCGCTAGGCGTGCTAACTGCGGTACAGGGTATATCCCGTTCTCGCAAAGGATTTGATAGAAGCCATCCATCAAATCCATGGACGAAAAGATGGTACTCTTTGACATACCATCAATGATTACGTCCTTCCTCGGTATCGGCGTCTGAGCCGGTACCGTTGCAGCATTCAACTTGTTAAATGCATGCACTATCCACCACCCTCCTGTTGCTTTTCGCACACAGAAGGTCGGAGAGCTGTGTGGGGAATGTTGATTCCCTCACATGGCCCGCTGCTAAACGATCGGCAAAGAACTTGTCGATCGCAAGTACTTGTTCACGAGGCAGTGGCCACTGCTTCATGGCACAGCACTTCGAGCCTGGTTTAAGCTCGACCTCGTGTCGAGTACCTTTATCCCCGGTAATTCGCACGGAACAGTTTCAGGGAATACATCCTTGAATTCAACCAAATCTTCATATAGAGGATTTGTCTTGAGCGATTCCCACGATTGGGAGTCATATCGCTCAATTCGTGTCTCTTCATCTAAGACACTCTCGTCCATAGATGAACTACTGAGAACTCTCTCGTTCTCAGTGAACACTGTTGCTGACCTTATGTCGGTTACACACTCGTCGTCAGCGACGAGTACGCAGATCTGCTTGACTTTGCCACCACGAAGATCACGCAATAACCTTTTATGTTCGAGCGTTGGCAACTGAGTGATCTCCGAAGCCAACTTCGGAGGCGCAATCAGATCAAGTGTATAAGCGCCTACACTTGATCCGTTATTGACTATGACATTCAATGTCTCTGTCATTTCCTGGGGATTGTTTCCTCAGGCTTCGAAGGACTTACTCCTTCGGCTTCCCGGGGACTTATTCCCGCGGGTTTCGGGCTACTTATTTCCGCCGTATTTGTAATCTTGGGACTTATTCCCTTTACTTCCTCTAGCTGGGGTTGCGCAACCACAGCGAGATCCTCTACGAAGTACTCTCCAGTCGATCTAGGATTATCGTTTCGCTTAACCTGAGCGATCGATTGTTTCTCTTCTGGATGTTCCCCGCTAGGGATACATCTTTGTCCCGGTCCACTCGACTTATTCGAGCGGTGGACCTTCGGCGCAGCCTGTGTTTCCTCACAGCCGCCGAAATCTAGCTCTGAAGTGTAACTGCTTTTTACACTAAGGTTTCGTGCAGTCGTACGAACGACCGTACCACAAGTGAGGCCATCGCACTCACTCGTAGTACATCCACACGCTTGTGGACGCTCCAAAACGTTCATCAGATGGTGATCTTATGAACAAGCGGCAGGCATCGTTACTGTTCGATGTTGCCAGTTTACCCGTGGTTCGTACCTTCTGAGCCACGGTATTCCAAGGATGACATCAAATTTGTCATCCAACTCCAATACGATAAAGTCATCGTCATATTGGGTATCTTCTAGCGTATAGTGGATCTTCACTATACGCTTCATGACGGTTACGGATGCGCCTGTCGCAAGACTTACCGTCATCCTCGTAGGAGGTGTGTCACATTCACTGAACTTAAAGTGACCATCTTCTAGCGATTGGCGTCGCACAAAATTGTTGGACGCCCCACAATCGACTAGAGCTCGAAGGGACAACTTATTCGTCACTTCAAGTTTCAAGGTAATGAGTGAGACCTTATTACCTAGAGCAGCAACGCACAACTTTTTTGTGTGTTGGGAGCAACCTTCATCAAGAGGCCTTCAAATTCTCTTGACGCTGCTGGAACAGTAGGGTGCTCCGCACCTACTGATCCTGTCCGTTTTTTTACGGTCCATCCCGTTGTTGCGTCTTTGCACCAACAGCGGACCCTCGTCCCTGCCCCTTTCTCATGGGTGGACGTTCACTACGCCCAGTGTTGCGAGACACTGGACGAAGGGCATTACACTCGTAAGCGTAGTGTCCTGACTTCTAGAATCTGTTGCGTTTCTGCAACTTCTTGTAGTCTGTAGAGCGAGCCTTCTCGCTCTCTACACAACAGAGTTCCATCGGCTCTGGACCTCCGCTTTCATATCGTCTCGGTTGACGATGCGATGTCGGGCTGGCGCGAGCCTGTCTCAGACTGAAGTCTTCCTGCTCCGCAATGGAAATGGCTTGTTCTAGTGAATCTAGTTCAAGTCGGAACAGGTGAGTCTTGACGGGACCATCCGCAAGACCCTGCATACATCGAAACCAACGTGTGTTCATCAACCGGGTTGGAACTTATACAACTCGTGAGATATCGTATATGTTGCGCGTAAGCGTGCAAATCACACTTACCTTGTTTCAGCTTCAAGAGTTCTGTTCGAGCTCTGAACTCAGCTCTAGGCGGTTCAATCATTTGTCTGAGCCGCGACTTGAAGACTTCCAACGACCCAAACGCATATGGGTCGTGCAACTTGAGCCCCAGTGCCCAAGTCTTGGCACGTCCTGCCAGATTTGACTGGGCAAATGCAACTTGCATATCCCCGTCGTCGATGCGACGCGCCCTTATGGCGTCATCCAATTTGACGAACCATCTCAAGAGGGAGTCCTCTTCGACTCCCCTATACTTGGAGATGTCAATCTACAAGGTCTCGGGTCGACGCGAGTGCATCGACCCACCAGCAGCAGCCTGCTGCTGTCTCAACAGTTCAAACTGTTGAGCACCCTGTTCTCTCAACAACTCTGCTTGTTGAGAACCTTGTTGGTGAAGCAAGGCTACTTTCTCGCGCTCAGCGTCAAGTTCATTTTGAATGAACTTGGCGATAGTAGCATGTTGGGCATCTCTATTGAGAGCCTCTAGCATGACGCTAACAGCATGGATGCCCATGGTTGAACCCATCCGTTCAACCGCATCCCATTCAACATCGCTCAAATGGCAGTAGCCGTCACGCGTAGCATGAAAGCTTTGGTCATCATCATCATCTAACGTAGTCATGTTAGATGTGAACGTGATCCTTGGACGGACTACGAAGTGCTACCAGGTGCAACGGGGCACCCTGAAGCTTGTACTCATGATAGTACAAGCTACTTATTCTGATGACAGAATAAGGCGGTGCCTCGGAACTTCACGTACACTCGTACGTGCAGAGGAAGATGGTAAGGAGAAGCGAGTACTTCGTTAAAGTAAAAAGTAGAACTGTATTTAGTATAGTTAATGTCTGCAATAAATCACTATTTATCCTCATCTAACTATGTCTGAATGCAAATGTGTAAATCAACTATCTGCTCACCACTCATTGCGTGCGTCTGTCGTGGCGCGTCTTCGTTGGTTGATATAATGGTCTATATCAACCAATTAGGAACTACTCGTAAGTGCTACATAATATTTGTCCTTATGACAATATTCTGAGAATATAACTCTTATAGTCATATTCTATTAACAATTTCTTATAAATTGTTATGTAACGATTCACCCCGTTACAATTGGCACACAGTGGACCGAATTCATGATTGCGGCGACATTCACTCAAGCTGAGGAAGTGCCTTAATTAAACAAGAAAACGAACGAATGTTCATTAAGAGCAACTTGCCGACCTTCTACGACTACATGCACGACGGTGACAATGATTTTGACGATGAATATTTCAAATAGGTGCCCATTAACGAGCCAAATAAAATCATGGTTTCACCCTTCAAAAAATCATGTTTTTCTGTAATAAACCGATAACACGATTGCTTCATCAATAATCTTCGGGTTTTTTCATCCCTGGTTGCGACTGTGATGTTATGGTTTAATCAGAGCAGTTCTATTAGGATCAGATTTCAGGATCAGGTATCGTCTGACCTGAATTACCTGCTTTTACATCCGGATGTGATCCGACACGGGCTTGTGAACTGAGCAGACTCACGCATCTGGTAGGGCACTACGTGATACAAGAGAGAGATCCCGTGCAGTTCCGAGTAAATACTAGTGCGGGTTGCAGGGACTTCTCAACATGATCGATGGCACTCAGACTGGACAGGTGTAACTTTTCTGGTCATTGCAACGTTTGTTCCGACTAGGTGCAAGCACGTATGAAGATGTTCTGGACCCGCTATTGGTGCTCTTTGCTTCGTGTCCATACGTCGTGCCGTGATCAGCAAAGACTTTGAACCCTTGTCCATCATACACGTCCGACGGCAATTCAATCAGGATCATCACTAGTTCACTGGGGTGCTCTCCGTCCTTCCCCTTTGTTTACGAGCAGTTCCAAATTTGCATCGTGCGAATCAACTAGAGCCAAGAAGCTCAACTCTGCTCTCCCACTCCTCTAGTGCCTCGGAGAGCACAGACCATCCATCCATCCTTTCGATGCTATTCTGTTTCTATCTTCTCGCGCTCGCACTCGTCGTGTCGATTAGCAGTGGCTCTCTCTCGGTTCCACCCACCAATAATTCGACCAAGCTACCGGCGCAGAACATGGACACCTCCATGCGGTCGGAGACAGACGGAAAACGCATGCCAATAGTGACCGACGTTTCCAATGAGTCCGCTTTTGAAGAAAGGTGGTGGCCGGAAGCTGATGCGATAGTAGGAACTGTTAAAGCATATCTGAAGCAACTGATTCAGCCTGTGCAAGTCAAAGGGCCCCTGCGCCCAGTGTTACGAGAAGTATCGATGGTCCCGACGGCGAGGATCATCCCGACTGAGAGGGATATGGGCTTGCAAGACCCTGTGCATCTGGATCCTGATGACAAATTTCAACAGGCTTCGAAAATGGTAACGGCTAGAAAGACGCATTTGGACTTGGCGCATGCCAACGTCGATACGTCAACGTATGCACAGGTTCTGAGAGCCCACGCGAACGTTAAGGAGAGTCCCGAGCGCGATGACGCTATAACAAAGGCAGAAGCGGATGTGGCAGAGTACGCAAAATTTAAAATTTTGTACGAATTGCAAAAATGGCAAGCTGAGGTGGCATCGCACGAGAAACCTGTGGACGAAAACCAAGCGCCTCACCTGCCTTCGTTGTAGAGGCACCATGCCTATCAAACACATGCTGAGCTACTCGTCGGGTGCCTCGGAACTCATGGAAAGATAGAGCAACGTAAACTTCAATCACAATTCGATGGCGATGAAAACTCTTTGTAATGTAGCGTTGTGTTTTGTCTAGAACGCTAGGGCTAAGTCGATATACTACCGCCCTCCCTCTCACTTAGCCTTATTGCTTGCGGGCAGACAGCGGACGTACCCTGAACTTTACATTGCACACTGATCCGAGTCAAAGTCAATAGAGCCTCACTCCTTCATGAGTCGTTCCATGTGCAAATCTCATTTGCCAGCCGCGAGATCACGAGCGCATACATCGGGTACGCCAGCGGTACAAAATTACTTGCAGTTAGCTTGTGAAAAAGTGATACGAAGTCAAGGTCGCGCAGCAAGCACTTAAGCCGAGGCGGAACGGGTAGTAAGATTGTAATCAAGGCGGAAAGGGTAGTAAGGTTTTAATCAAGCCCTCTGCTAGCAACGTGGGAGCTCAACTCCTGCAAAAATAAGGGAGCGCTAAAACTTCGGGAGGACTGCTCTCGAGGTACAAAAGCTCCCTCCTCTTATTGTTTTTGTAGAAGAGCACGAGTACACGCTACGCTTTTGCTCAATCTCCGCAGGTCTGGTAAGTATATATTACAACAATTGCTAAACGGCTAGGTTAATTTTTTAATTTCGGTTTAGACTTTTTAAGTTATAACTTAAAATAAACTGTCATTAAACTGTTCTCTTAACGTCAAATGACTTGTTTGCTCCATTCAGTGACTTTTGATGGCCGACAAGCCATTTGGATCTTCTCGAGATTGCTTCATCTTCCACCTACGGTGTGCGTTTTTTTTCTAGTTAAGTAAGTGTTGGTTGTTGTAACGGGGCACCCTTTGTTTGGGGTGCCACGAAACTTCACGTACACTAGTACGTGCAGAGGAAGCTAATCTACCCAACAACTAGGTTGAGTAAAGGGTAAAAAGAGAACTGTATTCAATATAGTTAAGCTATCAATATAACTTTAATCTTTGTTTAGCAATGTTAAAACTACGCCGTCGTATGACGACAACCTGCTCACCACTTATTGCGCGCGTCTGGCAGCGATTGGTGGCAATCTATGGTTAAAATGTCTTTTATCAACCAATCTTGGAGCAGCGCATGAATATTATCCAGAAGGAGATAAAGCCCATCTGATATTATCCATCTCAGATAATTTTGGTAGGATATTGTCATGCTAGACAATCTCCCTATTGACACCGTTTGGTGTCAATGTCATGTAAAGGGCTACTTCGTCACATCACCCCCCCCTTTACTGGACTTCACATTGTTAGGCTCATGTCTATTACTAATGCAATCAGAGTGACACACAAGATAGTTTTGGTGCGTAATTTGTGATCCCTTACTTTATATTAAAAATGCCGACTGACCCAGCAAGCAGCAAAACTTACTAGATTCTTTAGTCGACACAAACTATTTACATGTAAGTATGCCCACCATAACTACAAAAACTATGCAGCTGTTCGTCATACCTTTCACGGATGACCTCGCTGTCCGTATTCCTTCTTAGGTGAAACTAGGTCAATATTTATCCAGCTTTTATAACTTATGCGTGCTCCATCCCGAAAAGAACCCCGATCAAGTCTTGCATGGAAATATAGTCACATCTGCAAAAGATCACGAATGTCAGGCCAGTTTTTGGCGATATGGTAGTGTTGGATCGCGATGAACGGAATTTCGTGACTTAAAAAACAAGTTGCTAGGGCGAGTGTTGAATACAAGCGGTACATTCGGAATAAGAGATCAGCGGAATTGCATCACGTTCTCAGACGCAAAAAAAATACTGGATGTAACGCAGCACGTTGAAAACGTGGCGCTACTCACGACTGTGCAAAATGAGCAATCGCGTCGGGTGAATTCTGTAAAGATGACAAAACGTCGCGAGAAGGGGTGACAGTGTAATGAGGGACCATAGAAACACACTGGGCATCTAAACTGTAGCTGCTGTCACCGACAGCAGCGTAAGCGGTGCCTCGCTACCTCTGATAAGTAGGCTGAGAAAGGTAAAGCAATTAGAAAATGACTAGCTGTGTTAAAAGTAAACTATCAGGGATAAGTAAGTCCTGTTTATTAACCTATGTTTTAGTCTTATAGTTATTTACAACACCAATGTATGCATAAGTCTTGCCACCACTCATTGCGCGCGTCCACTGTTATTTGGACCGCTAGAGCTGGCTGGATGTGGTGAAATATATCAGTCAACTGGTGAGTGTTTCTGAATATTAACCCTTATGGTAATATTAACGAATATAACAACTTTGGTGATAATACTGTAAACTAAGCAATAGGTATCATGGGTTTAGTACTCGTAACAAGTTCACCCCGTTAAATAATTAAAAGTGCCGACGACTACCCATGACCCTAAGTTTTCAGTGTAGGTGACAGTCTAAGGATGGAAGAACACGTGGATTCAAGGTGGACATCGTTACACATTAAAAATTACGCAGGAAGGATTTAAAAAAACAGCATCAATACAAATTATCGAAAATCTCGAGGCAGGAGTGTGACATGGTAATCAGTGTGATTGAGAAAGATCCCAACAGCTATGTAAATACCATAATCAGCATAAAGCAGTAAAGTCGGATTTGTAAAGAAAGAAATATTGCTATTGGAGTAAATTAAAAAAAATAACGTATGGAAATCGGACGCGCCTTCCTTAGATAGCTATGTGCGCACGAAGTGGGTCTTCAAGACGCGAATGGGAACATCGAGCACTAAAAAGCTCAGTCTTCTGGCATGTGCAACAACCAACTTCTCGAATTCGAGCGTGGACTTACATCTAATGAAGTTCTGGAGCTCAGACCCGTTAAGAGGTACCAGCTACTAAACAGAAGTAGGGTTTGCTGGCGAGGCATGTAACGTTCCAATTGCCTACATTAAGACGGACAAAGAAGAGTAATTCAATGATTTTATGATCATATAACGCAATGTGTAAAGATTTTAAAAGCAGACATGTAGAATTGGATGCGGATACGTGCGACCAACTAGCATCGCTATTGTGAAGTCGCTTTAAGAATCTAAGTAGGCAGGAAAAATTGTGTTTTCAGACACTGCATGGCTATCTAGAGAATGCTAACTTTACACGTTGCACTCTAGATATGTTTGTGTACTGCAAACGATTAAGTAACGAAACGATCGTAGCTGGGGATAACGTCGATGATCTCCTGATTACAGCATAACGATTTTTTCGCTTCCATGGGTACACCATCAATGAAGGATTCCGGTGAAGTAAGGATTTTTTTAGAATGCGCGTTGATCTTTTTGACGAGAATGGCAAAAGTTAATCAGCAAGATATGATTGAAAAGCTCCTAAACCAGCAATTGCTGGATGAGACGAACGAGTTTCACGTTCCATGATAAGAGGATGAATGTGAAGCCGAAGCAGGTGAGACGAAGCACCTGTTAACGGAACGATTAAAGGAGAGCCACTATTTCGCCATTTTAAAGGCCTTGGTAGGGATTTGTTATGGATGTCACTCTGTACTCGTCCGAAAATAATATTTGCTGTACACAAAAAACGACGCGACGAGCCCATCAGCTGAATCTAAACGACTAGAGATTTGCGGAACAGTTTGCTCCGCATCTGAAGGGTACAAAGGAAATGAAGCTGCACATGGAAGCAATCGTGTCGAATTCAGATGAGTCGCTGCTTAAAAGATGGGCACCGCAGATCGAGCAAATGATCATCAAGATTGCACGCCAGGCACCGGTGAATTGATTGTGGTGTAAGAAGAGATTATGCAGTAGACATCAAAGGAATAGACTACCTTTTTCGGTTTCTACCGTGAATGTGGAAAATAATTTAGCGGCTCACGTTGTAAGTTGAACTTTAAATACAACAAGAACTTGTGCGCGAGAATTAGCATATGGTCTACGAGCCGATGAGTCCGTAAATGGACAACCATGTAGCCATAAAGCATCTCAATTTAACATAAAGTATGACGAATTTCTGACACGTGGACTTCAAGTGAAATCTATTTATGACTTCGCTGAACGTGAACTCACTAAGCCATTAAACGTCGAGTAAAGAATGATCATGGCTAAACTAATTACTAAAGCTGTCGCGGCACCGAGCCTGAAGAATTGCGAAAGTTTGCTACAATCCGCTAACTGGCGGATCCCCGTCACGCGGTGGTCGAGAAAAAGTACGGAAATGTATGTGCTGACGCAAAAGTTAAAGAGTAGTCCAATGTGTGGCAACTCAGGCATGAAACCGATCTCAACCACCCCCTCCCCCAATTTAAATTGCACACTCAAGAAAAAGAAGGCAGCTTATTGGTAACTCAGGTGAAAAGATACAGGACCCGAGCACATGAATGATGTAAAATGCACTAGTCGAGGTGAGTAAAGTATCACAACTTTAACCTTTATCAACCACTTCTTTTTTCTCCACGCACATGTTATCCAATACAGCTAATAAGAGACGGTTTTTACCCGAAGATTAGTGCCCTTGAGATGGAGGGGAAAGGATGCAGACCGTCTTAAGTGCCAATTGAGGTTATTGAGGAAAAAAAGGTTCGATTTGTAATCAAGCGTAACAAAAATTACTGCTAATCGGAAGTACTAATTACGCTGCTGGTGCCACTTTTGCAATTTACTCTCGTAGTAATTACAGTTTCTTAAGGTCTAAGTGAGCGTCTATGGTCTGTGACTAAAACAAAATACTGCTAAGATGAGGTTTGAATGGAAGGAAAGAATCGTGTGAACTAATTAGCGCATAGTGGGGCATGGACGCAGTCGCTTGCAGTTGCAGAGCTGCTAGTACGGGTCAAACACGACGCCTTTTACAACACAATACTTAATATTATTATTGAATGAGGACATTATGTACGACTATTACCGCTGAAATGCATCTACATCATGAAGTCTTGGAGGGTAAAAAAAACCAAAGAGGTAAATTGCCGTTAAGATGTTAATACAATAAGATCGAATAAGCTTTTTGAGTG